TCCTGCCAAACGGACCTCCCGCGCCCCATGCCGAATTCAATCGAACGCCTCTGCGCGCGCGATGGAGCGGGGCACGATCCGTGTCAAATGAAACCATGCAGACAAGTCTCACGCGTTGGCTGCGCGCGCATGTCGAATTCCTTCCCGAACTTTCATCACCGACGCGAAGACGCCATCATGGTCGCCGTCACAAGCTGTGCCGTCGTCGTTGTCAAAATCGCCACCATCATCGCTACGATCAGCATCATGTCTACCGTTGTGGGCCTTGCCATTGTACCGCGCCCGCCCAAGCCGCCGACTCGCATCGAAGTGCCCGCTGGGATGTGCCCAGCGGTCAGCGCCACCGCGGCTGCGTCAGCCGCGCCAGACTAGCTGGCCACTTCGCGCGCGTGCGTGCGCGGGCTGGCGCGGCCGCAAAGATGCACCAGCCAACACCAAGCACTCATTGCAATCGATTCCTCATGGGTTTAGCAAATTAAGCTGCGGGTGGGTGGGTGGGATGATTGCGCGAGCAGTGGGGTTGACAATTTCAAGTTGGACATTGGCGAAATGCACTACATCGATTACACCACATCTGTTGCACAACGTCGGGTTTCTTTTCTAGTGAGGTGCTGGGATCTACCACTCCCCCCTGGATCCATCGACCCCCATTGGGAAGAACATTTACTAATGGTTATGCCCCATCGCTCATTGAAACATTGTACATATGAACCCGGACCATCCCAACCAAGCGGGTTTGGACTCCCCGTCGTCTTCGCCAGACAACAAATACGTGATCTCGTGTATACATGAGTCATCAAGGATCAAGAACCTCTTGCAAGAGAAAAAGACAAAGTGCACACGCACGCGTCGCGCGCACATGCAATATTCTTTGTGAACAAAAAAAGCGTGGGTTCGCGTGCTCTTGCTGGCCATTGCGCGATATGGGAAAAGGAACGGGAAAAGGTGGCGTGCTGGCAGAATATATGGGACATGTACGGTGGGAAATGCGAGATGGAAACTTGAGCCAACCACAAGATGCCCGGAACACCACGAGACCATCACAAGATAGCCGCAAGACAACGACGCGACAACCACGAACCAAAACCACGGGAGAACCGCGGGACAACCAGCGCAACGACCAGCCGAACGACCACGGGACAACCACGGGACAACCACTGGAGAACTGCGGGACTAATCCGAGACAAACGGGGCTGAACCAACCTGAGGTGAAGTACCCCTGTTGAACAAAAGTAGGGTACTTCTCTCTCGCCCTCGCGCAGATTCGCCTCGCCCACACGCGCACCACGTCAAATACAACACGAAATTGACTGCCCATGTTGAGATCACTCCATTCCACTTCGATCTTAACCCGTGATATCCAAAATCGATCAACGTCCGACAACTTGGGAGAACACGAAAACACCGATACCGCTACTCCCTGGACCTGTCCGCAATGACGGTCGGACTCTGTCACAACTGCAACGCTGCTCCACAGCAGAGCCGCCCAACCTGTGTTACCGCGGCTTGATTCACCATATTGTCAACGCACCTATGGCGTGCACGGTTGTTTGTTTGTTCTCTCTCTCTCTCTCTCTCCCTCTCTATCCCCCTGACCTGTCCAAGGGGCCGTTCTGAGCAAGATTTTGGGGGCGAACCCAGCCGTGGCGACGAGGGGCGCGTAGGGTCACCAGTATCGGTATTTCTCCTCCTCTGATGAATGCCAACGGCCGTCGCGGCGCCCACGTTCCAGCCCGCGCTCTTGAACGAATAACAATTACCCTGGCGAAGAACTCAACCATGTGCAGTTGTGAGTACCGTCGTTGCGGGTATCGCCTTCGGGGGATCTCCTCACAGGGCCATGAAGCATGCGAAGTGTGTGCCGATGTGGGGCGGGGCCGCCTTTGTAGGCGCTGCCACTGGTGCTTTAGGCGGACCGCGCTACGCGGAAGTGTGAAGGGTGCGCCGCAGTGGGGCGGGGCCGCCACTGGGGCCTTCGGTGGAGCTCCCTATGGGGCAACGAAACAGTATAATGGGTGGGGAAACGCATGCGAGGGGGCCTTCGGTGCAGCTCCCCATGAGGCCACGAAGCGCTGTGCTGGGTGGAGAGGGCGCATGTGAACACCGCCTCTGGGGCCCTCGTTGGAGCTCCGATGGGGCCACGCAACGCTGCACTGGGCGGGGGTGACGCATACGAGTGCATCCACTGCAACCTTCGGTGGAGCTCCCTCTGGCACCACGAAACGCTACACGCGGTGGGGGTGACGCACGCGGGCGGTGCCACTGCGGCCTTCGGTGAAGCTCCCTATGGGGCCACGGAACGCTGTACTGGGTGGGGGATGACGCATGCGGGCGATGCCACTGGGGCCTTCGGTGGAGCTCCCTAGGGGCCACGAAGCGCTGTGCTGGTTGGGATGTGACGCATGCGGGCGGTGCCGCTGGGGCCTTCGGTCAAGCTCCCTATGGGGCCACGAAGCGCTGTGCTGGGTGGGGGTGACGCATGCGGGCGGTGCCACTGGGGCCTTCGGTCAAGCTCCCGATGGGGCCACGAAACGATGCACTGGGTGGGGGGTGACGCATGACGTCCGTGCCACTGTGGCCTTCGGTGAAGCTCCCTATGGAGCCACGAAGCGCTATAATGGGTGGGGGTGACGCATGCGGGCGGTGTCACTGTCACTGGGGCCTTCGATGAAGCTCCCGATGGGTCACGAAGCGCTGTACTGGGTGTGGGTGACGCATGCGGGCGGTGCCACTGCGGCCTTCGGTGGAGCTCCCTATGGGGCGACGAAACGCTGTACTGGGTGGGGGATGACGCATGCGGGCGGTGCCACTGCGGCCTTCGGTGGAGTTCCCTATGGGGCCACGAAGCGCTGTACTGGGTGGGTGAAACGCAGGGATGAGGGAGGAGGGGAAGGAGGAGGAGGGAGGAGGAGGGAGGAGGAAGGAGGCGGGAGGAGGAGGAGAACGCGGGGCGGCGTCTCTCCAAAACGAGGACCTAACACCACAGGATGGTTGGGAACAGGAACGATGACACGACGAGATGGTTGGGAACAGGAACGAAACGACGAGATTGACTCGGGAGATGTTCCACGAAATCCGCATAGTCCAGCGGCCCTTGTTTCTGCAACCCGTGTGGGACATGGGGACATCTGAGAAGCACTGGAGTCCTGGAAACGCAGCCTCATCACCACGTCTTGCTTCTCTGACCTACGACTAGGGGAACGAACCATGACATAAACATAAAAAACTCGGAGGCTCCAGCGCGGATTCCTCGGATCGGCGCTGGGGCCCCCTGGGGGCGCCTCCGGCGCCGCCCCTGGCGCACTCCGCGCGCCAGGGAAGGGGGTCCAGCGCGGATCCAAGAAATCCGCGCGGACCTTCGTGGTTTCATGTTCATGCCATTCTTTCGTTCCTCAAACTTGGCGGCGCGCACAAGGGGGTGGGAGGGGGGAGGGTTTCTTAGAAGGAGGCTGCTTCTTAGAAGGCGCTGGCCTTACATCTATGGACAAGGCCCGCGCCTTCCAAGTGGTGCCACTGTGGCCTTCGGTGAAGCTCCCTATTGACGCATGCGGGCGGTGTCACTGGGGCCTTCGGTGAAGCTCCCTATGGGGCCACGAAGCGCTGTACTGGGTGGGGGATGACGCATGCGGGCGGTGCCACAGCGGCCTTCGGTGGAACTCCCGATGCGGCAACGAAACGCTGTACTGGGTGGGGGATGACGCATGCGGGCGGTGCCACTGCGGCCTTCGGTGGAGCTCTGTATGGGGCTGCCACGCAACGCTGTACCGGGTGTGGGGGACGCATGCGGGCGATGCCACTGCGGCCTTCGGTGGAGTTCCCTATGGGGCCGCGAAACGTGTGAGGGGTTTGCCGATGGGTGTGGGTGACGCATGCGGGCGGTGCCACTGCGGCCTTCGGTGGAGCTCCTTATGGGGCCACGAAGCGCTGTACTTGGTGGGTGAAACGCAGGGAGGAGGGAGGATGGGGAGGAGGAAGGAGGCGGGAGGAGGAGGAGAACGCGGGGAGACGTCTCTCCAAAACGAGGACCTAACACCACAGGATGGTTGGGAACAGGAACGAAACGACGAGATTGACTCGGGAGATGTTCCACGAATTCCGCAAAGTCCAGCGGCCCTTGTTTCTGCAACCCGTGTGGGACTTGAGGACATCTGAGAAGCACTGGAGTCCTGGAAACGCAGCCTCATCACCACGTCTTGCTTCTCTGACCTACGACCAGGGGAACGAACCATGACATAAACATAAAAAAACTCGGAGGCCCCAGCGCGGATTCCTCGGATTGGCGCTGGGGCCCCCTGGGAGCGCCTCCGGCGCCGCCCCTGGCGCACTCCGCGCGCCAGGGAAGGGGGTCCAGCGCGGATCCAAGAAATCCGCGCGGACCTTCGTTGTTTCATGTTCATGTCATTCTTTCGTTCCTCAAACTTGGCGGCGCGCACAAGGGGGTGGGAGGGGGAAGGGCTTCTTAGAAGGAGCCTGCTTCTTAGAAGGCGCTGGCCATACATCTATAGACAAGGCCCGCGCCTTCTGAGAAGCAGGGGTGCCTCTAAGAAGCCATCCCCCCTCCCCCTCCTTCCCCTCCCCCTCCTCCTCCACCTCCTCCTCCTCATCCTCCTCCTCCTCCTCCCCCTTCCCCCCACCCCCCTCTGCGCGTGGCTGACTGACGACCTGCTCGAGAAGCACTCCTGCCCGCGCCGTTTCGCCCCCCGCGCGAGCCGCCTGCCGGCCACCGGCCGCCACAGGAGAGCCCAGAATCGAATCGACGAGCCGAAGCGGCGATCGAAACCAATCGGATCGGCGGAAGTCGGCAGCCGAGTCGGGAGAAATCCAGTCGGCTGAAATCGGCAGGGGCAGTAAGGCCTCACCGAGAAAACGAAAAATCCAGATCGGAATCTGAAGTCGAGCCGAATGAGAATCGGAGTCCATCGGGGTCGAATCGAACCGGAGGAATCGAGACGAGCCCTGCCGCCACCCCCCTGCCGCTGCGGCGGGCGCGCGCACAGAAGCCTTCTCGTCGTAGCTTCTGCTGTCGAACATCTCTGGGGCCATCCTGTGGGCGGGGCCGTCCTCCTCCGCCTCCTCCCCCGAGGTCAGGTCGGGCATGTCCCCCTACAGGCGGATGTTGGACGAAGAATAAAACAATAGTCAAACAACACGACAAAACAATCATCGAAGTATTAGGGGGACAGGCACGACTTAATCCTGAGGGGGAACGACAAGGAACGTTCGAACTTTGAGGTTCGAGGTTCAAGGTGTCTGACGACGCTTCAGTCGGTTATCGGCGGTCGCCCCAGCCTCGGAATGCTCTCTAACGGTTGCGCCTCGCCGAGAGCGTCCTGGGGGCTCCCGAATCCCAGGGAACGGCCGCTGGAGGCCTGAGTTATGACCCGAGAATCACCAGGAGACCTCATCGGGGGGGAGGGGGGGACATTGAGCTTGAATCGGCGGTACATCGCCGATAGTTCGGCGATGGGTCCTCGGTGGCGAAACCGCACGTTCCTGGGCGGGGTGGGCCACCAGGTCGCCATCGGCGACGAATGGTCGATAGGACGTCGCTCCTCGTCCTCCTCCTCCTCCTCCTCCGCCTCCTCCTCCTCCTCCTTCTCCTCCTCCCGCCTCCTCCTCCCTCCTCCCTCCTCCTCCTCCTCCTCCTCCTCCCCCTCCTCCTCCTCCCCCCCCCTCCCCCCCCTCCCCCCTCCTCCTCCTCCTCCTCCTCCTCCTCCTCCTCCCTCCTCCTCCTCCTCCTCCTCCTCCTCCTCCTCCTCCTCCTCCTCCTCCTCCTCCTCCCAGCGCTGCCCCTCGGACTTCGGGCCACCGCCGGGCTCTCCGGCGCCCGTGGATGCCCGCGGCGAGGCGCAACCGCTGGATGGCCTCCCGAGGCCGGAAGACCGCCGAGAGCCAACGAGAGCGCCCGGAGCCCGGAGGAGGAGGAGGAGGAGGAGGAGGGGGAGGAGGAGGAGGAGGAGGGGGGGAGGAGAGGAGGAGGAGGAGGTGGAGGAGGAGGGGGAGGAGAGGAGGAGGAGGAGGAGGAGGAGGAGGAGGAGGAGGAGGAGGAGGAGGAGGAGGAGGAGGAGGAGGAGGAGGAGGAGGAGGACCCCTCGCGGCCAAACTAATCCGGAGCCCAAAAGGGAACGTCGAGCATCTCCCCAACGCTGCGCCGGATCCTCCTCAGCCTCGAGGTGCGTGATTCGGGGCAGCGAGTCTGTGTGCGTCCTCCTCATCTGTCCCTCCCCTCCTCATCCTCGTCCTCTTCCCTACTCCTCCGCCTCCCCCTCTTCATCCTCCTCCTCCTCCTCCTCTTTCCCTCCCCTCTTCTGCCTCTTCCACTCCTCCTCCTCCGCCTCCCCCTCTCCATCATCTTCATGCTCTTCATCCTCGTTCCCTCCCCGCTGCATCCTTCTCCTCTTCCCCTCATCCTCCTCCGCTTCCCCCTCTTCATCCTCTTCCCCGTCGTCTGGTCTTCGCGAGACACTCTCGTTGCCACGGCTGGACGCAGCTTGAACATATTGCCAGGGTCAGCCCCTGAAGAGATGATCCAGGGACCAGTTTCGAACGGGTTTTAGCTGGGCCTCCCTCGACGGCGAGCCCAGGGAGGAAGGCAGAAGGGGCGGGCCGTCTCAGAAGGCTCGGGAACCCCACGGCCTTCTGAGAAAAAGGTCTACGCATTCTCCGAAGACAGAGCAGCCTTTCAGAAGGTCAGAGGGCTTCGGAGAAGCCCCGACACCTTCTGAAAAGGCCTGCACCCTCTCACTCCAACTTGGCGCGACGCCGATCATCCTCAGACGTTTCACGCTGCGATTTTTCCATCAGTTGGGGCACTCTTTTGCTCATGGGTTGTTCACGTTTGCCCCAGGGCCCGCAAACGCCCCGCGAAGGCTGATGAATGTCAGGGAAACAACCTGTGTCAGCGGCAACTTGGGCTGAAGCAGCGGCGAGGCGATGATGGGGCGCTGCATAGCAGGTTAAAGTTAAGGCGCAAACAGAAGAGGGAACTACTGAAGAGAATTCGGAGGAAACAATTCAGCTTGGCTTCTGCGAGTCACCAGATGTCGTGGTCCCTCTTCCTAGGAGGAGCATGCACGCGGGCAGGCCTAGCTCAGATGCCGAGGCCCTGCGAGGAAAGAAAGAGGCGGCTCCCGAGACACCTCCCCCGACTCGTCTGGCCAGGCATCCCCCTTCGGCATCCTCCTCCCTTCTCGTACTCCATCCTCCGAACGTGATGCTCGTAAACTCTCGGAGGTCCACGAGGTTACTCGAGATGATCCTCCTCCTCCCCTCCTCGAAAAACCATCTCGAACATCCAACACCCCCGTCTTTCTCCAGACCCCCCCCATGTGTTGCGAGCGACGTTAGGGCCTCCTTGAGGCTTCCAGGATGCCTTCAGGATGCACAGCAGGAAGCGCGCGAAGAAACGATACTTTACGCTGAGAAAGACGCCGAGAACGAACGCGCTGCCCGCTGACACAAGCTGCGCCGCTAAGGCACATGGCGCACCTTCGAGACAGCCAATGCGACCGAACGATTGAAGAGCGATCAAGGGGCCCGAGGACACACACACACACACATATAGGCACACACAAATCTCAGGATTCTCGATATTTGTTTTCATATTTTCTGGATGTTCGTCTTCCCCTCCACGTCCCATGTTTTCCTATATTTTCCTGGGAGTCGACGATTCATTGTGTCTGTGTGTGTTTTTTCCCCCCCTGAAGCAAAGCGGACAGGGACGATGCTAACGAAGGCTGTCCCTCGTCTGGGCTGCTGGCTGCGGCCTGGCGCCCACGACGGCCATGACGACGACGACGACGCATCGAGAACCTTTGTTGAATCGCCCGCATAGTTGCCTCATCCTCCTCCTCCTCCTCCTCCTCCTCCTCCTCCTCCTCCCACTCCTTCTCCTCCTCCTCCCCCTCCTCCTCCTCCTCCTCCTCCTCCTCCTCCTCCTCCTCCTCGGCGGGAGGATCGCGCCGCATCGCCGATGCATCTCCGATGCACCAGCGACGTCGGCGATGCATCGGCGACGTTGGCGTGGAGAAAATCGGGCTCCACGTCGATCCGCATCGCCGATGCATCGGCGATGCGACGCGATCTCCCGACCCCGTCCACTACCGCCCAAAGTGGAAGGCCTGGAAGTATGGGAAGACAAAAGGAAACATAAAACACAGCACGCGCCCCCTCTCCCACGCCGGTCCTTCTGCGGTCCTCCTCCCCAGGAGGGGCGGGGTCACAGGGGGGAGTCATTTCCTCCTCCTCCTCCTCCACCTTATCTCCGCCTCCTCCTCCTCCTGCTTCTCCTCCTCCTCCCCCTCCTGGTCGTCGTCGGTGCCTTTCAGGGTCGGCGGCACCGGCCGTCAGGCCTTCACAAGAAAACACAGCAAGTGCCCCCCGCAACATGCGCCCTGATGCGAACCGAACTCCGTCGTGCCACCGCTGCCGTGGACGGCGGACTGCCAGCATCCTCCTCATGACCCCTCCTCCCCCAAGATCCGGAAGGTTGCAACGCTTTCGCAACAATCGTTTTCGCCCAGCTTCGGGCCCCCGGACCATCACCGGTCGATCCAACTCGATACAGACACAGAAAAATTGGGCGTGGGGCTCTGGTCGGGATTTTCTAAGATGCTGTACTTTTCCCGAGACGTCGGATCTCAGCTGGTTGGAGGCGGCCAAGAGGTCTTCTGAGCTGGATGGGCCCAAAGAAAACTGGCCAAAAGGAGGGGATACGGGCAAATCCGCTCAAAATCTATCCCACGACCCCTCCCCATCTCCATCCAGTACAGCTTTTCAACCTAGACTCGTTTTTCACGCTGCGGTCCTGGGACCCCAAGCGGCCCCTGGAGACAGAAACAAAACATATCGAACCGAGAACCTCGAAATTGGCCCCCCAGGCCAGAACCTCGAACCTCGAACCTCGACGACCGAGAACCATCGAATTGGCCAGAGCCAATACTGGGCCACGTCGAGCCCCCAGACGGCTCCAACCTGAGGCGCGCCAGGTCGTTCGACGAGCAGCCGGCGCACAACGACAGACAAAAAGGAACGGCTACCAGACGGGGCCTTGCCAAGGGGGAGGGGGGAGAGACGGAGGCGAGCGCGGAGGAATGGGCGAAAGAATGGAGGGACGAGAGGGGGAATCACTGGCCCAGCCTGGAGCTCGCTCCAAGGCAGCCATCCCCGAAGGAACCTCGCCCGCTTCGAGCTCTTCCTGGGGGCCTGGCCAGGAAAGAGGTGCGTGCCCCCCGACTTCGAGGAAGCAAGAGGTACCCATCGGTCGGAAGAAATATATAGAAACATGAAGTAGGAAGGCGTTGGAAATAGATTGGGTTTCCGCACGCCGCCTGAAGAGGAAGGAAGACGGAAAACCACCCGACTCTTGAAGTAGGAAGGCGCTGAAAGTAGATTGAAATCTGGGAATCCAAAAATCCTGCTTTCAACGACCGATGGGTAATTGCGTTGTGTGCTTCGCGAACACTTCTGAGTAACCAGTCCCTTCCCCCCTCCCCCCCGAGGTTGCGTCACGCCTCGCGCCGGGACGCCGCGTGGGAAGCAGCCGGTAACCTGAGCATGCCCAGGACGGCGCCGGCGCGAACCGTGGCGTGACTGGCCCCCTCCGCCCCCTCCCTGATCACGCCGGTTTTCTCCAGCTGGGTAGTCGAAGCCAATCTGGCGCCAATCTGGCAGGCCCAATCTGGCAAACGGGGGCAATCTGGCGAGGGAGCCAACGCGAATCCAGTCTGGCGAATAACCCAAATCATCCAGTTTGGCCGGGCCAGATTGGCCCTTGGGGCCCATCCAATCTGACAGTCTGGCCTTCGACTACCCAGTCTCCGCCCCGCCCCTGGTCACGCCGGTTTTCTCCAGGGGATAGAAATAAACGTTCGTCGAAACCTCCCCCTGCACTGCAGTGAGCGACAAGTGCGTCCTCCCTCCCCTAACGGGCGAAGAACGGTATGAAATAAACTTTTTCGCTGTCGGGGGGGCCTGCCCCAGGGCGGCTGGAAAGTTTATACCCCTACGGTGCCACCGTAAGGGTATAAACTTTCCAGCCGCCCA